TACTGTAAAGAAATTTTAATGAAAATAAGAAAAAATTTTGGAGTGAGTTAAACAAATTAAGAAAGCCTAGGGAACAAATGGATTTGTCAGTTAAAAACAGAGTAGGGGAGTTAGTAGATGGCGAGAGGGAGGTTTTGGGTAGATGAGGAGAATTTTTTGAGGAACTTTTAAATGTCGACGAAGAAAGGGAGGTGGTAAATTCATGCACTGGCCAGGGAGGTATACCATCTTTTAGGAGTGAAGAAGAGCAGGATGTGAGTGTGGGGGAGGTGCGTGAGGCATTACGTAGAATGATAGGGGGTAAAGTAGCTGAAACTGACGGGATCATGACAGAAATGTTAAAAGCAGGGGGGGACATAGTGTTGGAATGGTTGCTATTTTTGTTTAATAAATGTATAAAAGCGGGGAAGGTACCTAGGGATTGGCGGAGAGCGTGTATTAGTCCCTTTATATAAAGGGAAGGGGGACAAAAGAGATTGTAAAAATTATAGAGGAATAAGTTTACTGAGTATACCAGGAAAAGTGTAAGGTAGGGTTAGTATTGAAAGAATTAGAGGTAAGACAGAATGTAGAATTGCAGATGAGCAAGGAGGTTTTCGAGTGGGTAGGGGATGTGTAGATCAAGTGTTTACATTGAAACATATATGTGAACAGTACAGTGGACCCCCGCTTAACGATCACCTCCCAATGCGACCAGTTATGTAAGTGTATTTATGTAAGTGCGTTTGTACGTGTATGTTTGGGGGTCTGAAATGGACTAATCTACTTCACAATATTCCTTATGGGAACAAATTCGGTCAGTACTGGCACCTGAACATACTTCTGGAATGAAAAAATATCGTTATCCGGGGGTCCACTGTATTTAGATAAAGGTAGGGAAGTTTTATTGCATTTATGGATTTAGAAAAGGCATATGATAGAGTGGATAGGGAAGCAATGTGGCAGATGTTGCAAGTATATGGAATAGGTGGTAAGTTACTAAATGCTATAAAGAGTTTTTATGAGGATAGTGAGGCTCAGGTTAGGGTGAGTAGAAGAGAGGGAGACTATTTCCCAGTAAAAGTAGGTCTTAGACAGGGATGTGTAATGTCACCATGGTTGTTTAATATATTTATAGATGGGGCTGTAAAAGAAGTAAATGCTAGGGTGTTCGGGAGAGGGGTGGGATTAAATTATGGGGAATTAAATACAAAATGGGAAGTAAGTTACTTTTTGCTGATGATACTGTGCTTATGGGAGATTCTAAAGAAAAATTGCAAAGGTTAGTGGATGAATTTGGGAGTGTGTGTAAAGGTAGAAAGTTGAAAGTGAACATAGAAAAGAGTAAGGTGATGAGAGTATCAAATGATTTAGATAAAGAAAAATTGGATATCAAATTGGGGAGGAGGAGTATGGAAGAAGTGAATGTTTTCAGATATTTGGGAGTTGATGTGTCAACGGATGGATTTATGAAGGATGAGGTTAATCATAGAATTGATGAAGGAAAAAAGGCGAGTGGTGCATTGAGGTATATGTGGAGGCAAAAAATGTTATCTATGGAGGCAAAGAAGGGAATGTATGAAAGTATAGTAGTGCCAACACTCTTATATGGATGTGAAGCTTGGGTTGTAAATGCAGCAGCGAGGAGGCGGATGGAGGCAGTGGAGATGTCCTGTCTGAGGGCAATGTGTGGTGTAAATATTATGCAGAAAATTCGGAGTGTGGAAATTAGAAGGTGTGGAGCTTTTTTTTTTTTTATATTTTATTTAAAACATCATACTGATGTAGATACTGATGTAATGAAACAAATATTTACATGTGTAAATTAGGAGGAGGTGTGGAGTTAATAAAAGTATTAGTCAGAGGGCTGAAGAGGGTTTGTTGAGGTGGTTTGGTCATTTAGAGAGAATGGATCAAAGTAGAATGACATGGAGTGCATATAAATCTGTAGGGGAAGGAATGCGGGTAGGGGTCTTCCTCGAAAAGGTTGAGGGAGGGGTAAAGGAGGTGTTGTGGGCGAGGGGTTTGGACTTCCAGCAAACTTGCGTGAGCGTTTTAGATAGGAGTGAATGGAGACAAATGGTATTTGGGTCCTGACAATCTGTTGGAGTGAGAGCAGGGTAATATTTAGTGAAGGGATTCAGGGAAGCGGGTTATTTTATATAACCAGACTTGAGTCCTGAAATTGGGAAGTACAATGCTTGCACTCTAAAGGAGGGGTTTGAGATATTGGCAGTTTGGAGGGATATATTGTGTATTTTTATACGTATATACATTGGACACCTGCCTTACGATGGCATCACGTTACGTTAAATCTGCCATACGTTACATTTTAACGCAAAAATTTTGCCTCGCCTCACGCGGTTTGTCCGGGACGCGTCCCACATGTGGCCTCAGCTGCCTCGTGTGTGCCAGTGTTTACAAGCCATCCATTGCAGTCGCATCCATGCATACATTCGGTACATTTCATGTTATCACAGTATTTTTAGTGATTGTACCTGCAAAATAAGTCACCATGGGCCCCAAGAAAGCTTCTAGTGCCAACCCTGCAAGAAAAAGGGTGAACATTACCATGAAAATGAAGAAAGAGATAATTGCCAAGTACGAAAGTGGAGTGTGTGTCTCGGAGCTGGCCAGGTTGTATACCAAACCCCAATCAACCATCACTACTATCGTGGCCAACAAAACGGCAATCAAGGAAGCTGTTCTTGCAAAAGGTGCAAGTTTGTTTTCGAAACAGAGATCACAAGTGATAGAAGATGTTGAGAGACTGTTATTGGTGTGGATAAATGAAAAACAGATAGCAGGTGAAAAGGCTAGGAAGTTGCATGATGATTTAATTAGAAAAATGCCTGCAACTAGTGGTGATGTGAGTGAATTTAAGGCCAGCAAAGGTTGGTTTGAGAGATATAAGAATTGTAGTGGCATACATAGTGTGATAAGGCATGGTGAGGCTGCCAGTTCGGACCAAAAAGCGGCTGAAAAATACGTGAAGGAATTCAATGATTACATAGACAGTGAAGAATTGAAACCTGAACAAGTGTTTAATTGCGACGAAACAGGCCTGTTTTGGAAGAAAATGCCAAGTAGGACCTACATTACTCAGGAGGAAAAGGTACTCCCAGGACATAAGCCTATGAAAGACAGGCTTACTCTTCTGATGTGTGCTAATGCTAGTGGTGATTGCAAAGTGAAGCCTTTATTGGTGTATCACTCTGAAACTCCCAGAGCGTTCAGGCAAAACAATGTCGTCAAGGCTAATTTGTGAGTGATGTGGAGGGCAAACAGTAAGGCATGGGTAACTAGGGACCTTTTCTATGACTGGTTACACCATGCATTTGCCCCCACTGTGAAAAATTACCTCCTGGAAAATAAATTGGAAATTAAGTGCCTCCTGGTATTAGACAATGCTCCTGGTCATCCTTCAGACTTGGCAGAGCAACTTTCTAGGAACATGAGCTTCATTTAGGTCAAGTTTTTGCCTCTTAATACCACTCCTCTCCTGCAGCCCATGGACTAGCAGGTCATTTCAAACTTCAAAAAAATCTACACAAAAGCTGTTTCAAAAGTGCTTTGAAGTGACCTCTGGCACTCGATGGACTCTTAAGAGAGTTTTGGAAAGACCCCTTTAGCATCCTCAATTGTGTAAACCTTATAGGTAAGGCTTGGGAGGGAATGACTAAGAGAACCTTGAACTCTGCTTGGAAGAAACTGGCCACAGTGTGTAGAAGAAAGGGATATTGAAAGGTTTGGGGCTAACCCTGAGAATCCTATGCCAGTTGTGGAATCCATTGTGGCATTGGGGAAGTCCTTGGGGTTGAGGTTAGTGGGGAGGATGTGGAAGAGTTGGTGGAGGAGGACAATGAAGAACTAACCACTGAAAAGCTGCAAGATCATCTTCAACAGCAAGAGGCCACACCTGAGGAAACTGCTTCAGAGGAGGGGAGAGAGAAATTGAGGAACTGCCTACTTCAAAGATTAAGGAAATGTGTGCAAAGTGGGTTGAACTGCAAATCTTTGCAGATGAAAATCACCCTGACACAGCTACTGCATGCTGTGCTGGTGACTATTACAGTGACAGTGTTATGGCCCATTTTAGTTAAGTCTTAAAGGAATGGGAGGTACAGGCCTCTATGGACAGATATGTTGTGCAACAGAGGTCCAGTGACTTTCAAGCTGGTCCTAGTGGCATCAAAAGAAGGAAGGAAGCAACCCCGGAAAAGGACTTGATACCTCAAGTCCTAATGGAAGGGGATTCCCCTTCTAAACAATAACAACTTCCACACTCCCTTCCCCCCATCCCATCAATCATCACGAGATCTTCAATAAAGGTAAGTGTCGTGTATTGTATTCTTAGTGCATGTCTTCTTAAGTTTGTGTGTAGTAAAATTAATATTTCATGTGGTAAAAAAAAAATTTTTCATACTTTGTGGTGTCTTGCACGGATTAATTTGATTTCCATTATTTCTTATGCAGCAAATTAGTTTGCCATACGATAATTTCGTCTTATGATGAGCTCTCATGAACGGATTAATATTGTAAGGCGGGGGTCCACTGTACTTCTAAACTGTTGTATTCTGGGCACCTCTGCAAAAACAGTGATTATGTGTGAGTGAGGTGAAAGTGTTGAATGATGATGAAAGTATTTTCTTTTTGGGGATTTTCTTTATTTTTGGGTCACCCTGCCTCGGTGGTAGACGGCCGACTTGTTGAAAAAAAAAAAAAGTCATGAAAAATTATCGGTATTAAAATGAAAGTCCGGTTATCTGGACTCAAGTCCTGGAGATGGGAAGTACAGTGCCTGCACTCTGAAGGAGGGGTTTGAGGTATGTGCTGTTTAGAGGGACACTTAAATATTGATAATATAAGTGATAGTGAAAGTGTTTTTTTTTTTTTTTTTTTTTTTTGGGGGGGGGGGGATTCACCCTGCTTGGGTGGGAGACTGTCAGTGTGTTAAAAAAATTAATTTTAATTGTAGCTCTATGGGAAAATACTCTCGAGTATAATAATTGCCCTTACAGGTGGTGTGAGCTACCTGCACTCTCTCTCTGGCTTCACTCGTCGCCTGGTGTTGCAGCTGTTGTTGGAAACAGAGAGAGTGGTGGTGCACATCAACAGTCCTCTTGGCAGCCTCTCCTCTCCCACTGGCTGCAGCCTCCCACCACTCACTCAACACCCTAAGTTTGGAGCTGGACACAAGACTCGACTCCTCAGTCTTCCCACAACCACGTCCATGTCAGATATTATCAAGATGGTCACAGGTAAAGTCTGCAAGGCTTTTTTTTTTTTTTGTTAATGTCTGTGTCATACCAAGGCAAGACAACACTGTTACTAATTTTTTTATTATTTTTATTATCACACCGGCCGATTCCCACCAAGGCAGGGTGGCCCGAAAAAGAAAAACTTTCACCATCATTCACTCCATCACTGTCTTGCCAGAAGGGTGCTTTACACTACAGTTTTTAAACTGCAACATTAACACCCCTCCTTCAGAGTGCAGGCACTGTACTTCCCATCTCCAGGACTCAAGTCCGGCCTGCCGGTTTCCCTGAATCCCTTCATAAATGTTACTTTGCTCACACTCCAACAGCACGTCAAGTATTAAAAACCATTTGTCTCCATTCACTCCTATCAAACACGCTCACGCATGCCTGCTGGAAGTCCAAGCCCCTCGCACACAAAACCTCCTTTACCCCCTCCCTCCAACCTTTCCTAGGCCGACCCCTACCCCGCCTTCCTTCCACTACAGACTGATACACTCTTGAAGTCATTCTGTTTCGCTCCATTCTCTCTACATGTCCGAACCACCTCAACAACCCTTCCTCAGCCCTCTGACAACAGTTTTGGTAATCCCGCACCTCCTCCTAACTTCCAAACTACGAATTCTCTGCATTATATTCACACCACACATTGCCCTCAGACATGACATCTCCACTGCCTCCAGCCTTCTCCTCGCTGCAACATTCATCACCCACGCTTCACACCCATATAAGAGCGTTGGTAAAACTATACTCTCATACATTCCCCTCTTTGCCTCCAAGGACAAAGTTCTTTGTCTCCACAGACTCTAAGTGCACCACTCACTCTTTTTCCCCTCATCAATTCTATGATTCACCTCATCTTTCATAGACCCATCCGCTGACACGTCCACTCCCAAATATCTGAATACGTTCACCTCCTCCATACTCTCTCCCTCCAATCTGATATTCAATCTTTCATCACCTAATCTTTTTGTTATCCTCATAACCTTACTCTTTCCTGTATTCACCTTTAATTTTCTTCTTTTGCACACCCTATCCAAATTCATCCACCAATCTCTGCAACTTCTCTTCAGAATTTCCCAAGAGCACAGTGTCATCAGCAAAGAGCAGCTGTGACAACCCCACTTGTGGTGTGATTCTTTATCTTTTAACTCCACGCCTCTTGCCAAGACCCTCGCATTTACTTCTTTTACAACCCCATCTATAAATATATTAAACAACCACGGTGACATCACACATCCTTGTCTAAGGCCTACTTTACTGGGAAAAAATTCCCCTCTTTCCTACATACTCTAACTTGAGCCTCACTATCCTCGTAAAAACTCTTCACTGCTTTCAGTAACCTACCTCCTACACCATACACTTGCAACATCTGCCACATTGCCCCCCTATCCACCCTGTCATACGCCTTTTTTCCAAATCCATAAATGCCACAAAGACCTCTTTAGCCTTATCTAAATACTGTTCACTATATATGTTTCACTGTAAACACCTGGTCCACACACCCCCTACCTTTCCTAAAGCCTCCTTGTTCATCTGCTATCCTATTCTCCGCTTACTCTTAATTCTTTCAATTATAACTCTACCATACACTTTACCAGGTACACTCAACAGACTTATCCCCCTATAATTTTTGCACTCTCTTTTATCCCCTTTGCCTTTATACAAAGGAACTATGCATGCTCTCTGCCAATCCCTAGGTACCTTACCCTCTTCCATACATTTATTAAATAATTGCACCAACCACTCCAAAACTATATCCCCACCTGCTTTTAACATTTCTATCTTTATCCCATCAATCCCGCTGCCTTACCCCCTTTCATTTTACCTACTGCCTCACGAACTTTCCCCCACACTCACAACTGACTCTTCCTCACTCCTACAAGATGTTATTCCTCCTTGCCCTATACACGAAATCACAGCTTCCCTATCTTCATCAACATTTAACAATTCCTCAAAATATTCCTTCCATCTTCCCAATACCTCTAACTCTCCATTTAATAACTCTCCTCTCCTATTTTTAACTGACAAATCCATTTGTTCTCTAGGCTTTCTTAACTTGTTAATCTCACTCCAAAACTTTTTCTTTTTTTCAACAAAATTTTTTTGATAACATCTCACCCACTCTCTCATTTGCTCTCTTTTACATTGCTTCACCACTCTCTTAACTTCTCTCTTTTTCTCCATATACTCTTCCCTCCTTGCATCACTTCTACTTTGTAAAAACTTCTCATATGCTAACTTTTTCTCCCTTACTACTCTCTTTACATCATCATTCCACCAATCGCTCCTCTTCCCTCCTGCCACCCACTTTCCTGTAACCACAAACTTCTGCTGAACACTCTAACACTAACATTTTTAAACCTACCCCATACCCTCTTCGACCCCATTGCCTATGCTCTCATTAGCCCATCTATCCTCCAATAGCTGTTTAAAATCTTACCCTAACTGCCTCCTCTTTAGTTTATAAACCTTTACCTCTCTCTTCCCTGATGCTTCTATTCTCCTTGTATCCCATCTACCTTTTACTCTCAGTGTAGCTACAACTAGAAAGTGATCTGATATATCTGTGGCCCCTCTATAAACATGTACAACCTGAAGTCTACTCAACAGTCTTTTATCTACCAATACATAATCCAACAAACTACTGTCATTTCGCCCTACATCATATCGTGTATACTTATTTATCCTCTTTTTCTTAAAATATGTATTACCTATAACTAAACCCCTTTCTATACAAAGTTCAATCAAAGGGCTCCCATTATCATTACACCTGGCACCCCAAACTTACCTACCACACCCTCTCTAAAAGTTTCTCCTACTTTAGCATTCAAGTCCCCTACCACAATTACTCTCTCACTTGGTTCAAAGGCTCCTATACATTCACTTAACATCTCCCAAAATCTCTCTCTCTCCTCTGCATTCCTCTCTTCTCCAGTGCATACACGCTTATTATGACCCACTTCTCGCATCCAACCTTTACTTTAATCCACATAATTCTTGAATTTACACATTCATATTCCTCTTTTCTCCTTCCATAACTGATCATTTAACATTACTGCTACCCTTCCTTTGCTCTAACTCTCTCAGATACTCCAGATTTAATCCCATTTATTTCCCCCACTGAAACTCTCCTACCCCCTTCAGCTTTGTTTCGCTTAGGGCCAGACATCCAACTTTCTTTTCATTCATAACATCAGCAATCATCTGTTTCTTGTCATCCGCACTACATCCACGCACATTTAAGCAACCCAGTTTATAAAGTTTTTCTTCTTCTCTTTTTAGTAATTGTATACAGGAGAAGGGGTTACTAGCCCATTGCTCCCGGCATTTTAGTCGCCTCATACGACACGCATGGCTTACGGAGGAAAGATTCTTTTCCACTTCCCCATGGACAATAGAAGAAATAAAAAGAACAAGAGCTATTTAGAAAAAGGAGAAAAACCTAGATGTATGTATATATATATATATGCATGTGCGTGTCTATGAAGTGTGACCAAAGTGTAAGTAGGAGTAGCAAGATATCCCTGTTATCTTAGCGTGTTTATGAGACAGAAAAAGAAACCAGCACTAATTTCTACTCTTCAAACTAATCCAGTACAAGCAAGATGTGTACATCTCACTCTACTGCTGCTGCTACTTCCTCTGGATGGACAGATGAGAAGGTACCAGCCAAAGGAGGGACTAACTTGTGCTCCTCATGTACATGAATGGTATACAATACCAACAAGGTGAAGAATTAGACACTTTCAATATCTGGTTATCTTTATTTGTAGACGTTTTGCCATCCAGTAGCTGTATCGATACAAATTCAAGGACATAATTGGACACATGTTGCACATGCGTGTAATTCTTCATTGTGTTCCTCATACCAGAATTAGTTAACAACACTTGATATGGTTGAAATTCTCTAGAGATGTGTTGATTCAAAAACCCTGGGCTTCATCTAAAGCTGTGTATGTTTACACAAAGATGGTTTCACTATACGTATTTTACTATTAATGAAAAACATGACATTATTAGCAAAGATTCGCAAGACTGACCTTGCACATGTTGGTGGATGCGATTTCTTTCTTCACTTCAGGAAATTCTCTGAACGTACTCTGAAACAAATGTACATGTACTTATTTATATGTAAATACATTTATGAGGGGGGAAACCGGTTAGCCAGACTTGAGTCCTGGAGTTGCAACAAGCAGTACCTGCACTCTGAAGGAAGGGGTATGGGTGTTGTAGTTGGAAGGTTATCTGAATTGTAATCTCGGCACACTTCTGGTAAGACAGGGATTGAGTGAATGATTGTGAATATTTTCTTTTTTTGGGTCAGTCTGCCATGGGTCACTCAGTTTTGGGTCAGTCTGCCGTTGTGGAATATGTTAGGATGAATGCAAGATAAAATATTAGATTGGGAGGACAACTTTTTTTAATAGCACACAGCAACATGATTCCAACATCCACTCCAGTATTTTAATTTTTATATATTTTTTTGTCCCTCAAAAACTAGGGTTGGTTGACTTATGCATGACATACATAAGTTCATTTTTTTTTCATGTAGAGGAAAAAAAGTCAGGGATCAACTTGTACAGGAAGTAGGAGATATACTGTACTTGGGTATATACTGCAGAGAAATTACACAGTGGTGTGACAAACAGATAAGTGCCTTGGTGGGAGACAGCCCAGCATGTTAAAAAAAAAAATGCCATATAATGGAAATTTTAAAAAGAAAAAAAACTTTAATGCAGTATGTAAACATAACATAAGAGTTGTGTAAGCTTGGAAATCAAGCAAATATTGTCATATAGAGTATGCATATGGTTTCCATACTACATTGATGTCTCTTTTACTCCTTGATATTTCACCCACAGAAACCAACCGAGTTAAAAATATAGATTGACAAACCATTGATAACATCAAACAGTAATAGGGAACTGTGAATAATTCTAGTACAGTGTAGGCAGCAGATTATCCTCAGTAAATGAAGTATATAGCCATGAGAAACTCGTATACTCGACGACACTGGCAAACTTTAGAGTACGGTACTGTATATAGATAGTGAATTACTAAAACACTGTTCATACATAAGTTAGGCCTAAATTGGTATTTGCAACTTTAGTGGGGGTGGTGACAAAAACATTGAGATGAACTGGTAACAATCCAAAAACAGTACAAAACTACTTTCGAATTAAAACCCATGAATCACGAAGGACTGAAGACAGAAAATGCTCTCATTGGTAGGCAAGAGGAAAAATATGGTATCCTTTTATGATCTTACTGTGGTAAAAGAAAAAAAGAGATGAAAGCACTTTTAGCACCGTCAACAGTGAAAACAAGAGGCCACACTTGTAAAGAAGGAAAAAAAAAGTTGTTCCGAATGGACAGTAGAAAATATTTCTTCACGAATAATGGTAGACTGCTGGAATGAGATCCAAGAGGAGGTAGTAATGTATGTGGTGCGACCCATGGAACTCCAAAAAAAAAAAAAAAAAAAAAAAAAAAAAAAATACATGAAAAGCCAAACTGTGACGGGAGAACACGAGCATAGCTCTGCTCCATTAACTACAAATGCAGTCACAAATAGGTAATGACACGTACAAATAATGTAGGGGGCAAGTTAATGGGAATTCATTCCTCCATTGATCGTGTGTGTCAACACGGCTCAAATTAATGAATAACGTGAATATATTAACTTAAGTGGTAATTCTCTAATAAATTTTTGCCATAGACTGGTCTAGAGGAATGTTGAACGGCAACACAGGAGAATTAGACTTGACCAGTAATGACCACCGAGAACCAAATGAAGTCGGTCACTTGGAGCTGATGGACAAGCTGTCAGTGGCTGCTGGAGTGACTGCAAAGGACAAGAGGAGTAAGAATAAGGCCAACTCAACTATCCACAGAGTGTCCATGACTATGCCCAAGAGAGGTGTGTAAATGTTGCACTTCAGTTTGATGATGAAGAGGTTTATCTCTTACCACATAGTAAGCATTAAGCATCTTCATTATTTTATTTGTATTTTGTTCTGTATCTTATGGCTCTTTGCTTCCATGTGGCTGTATGATTGCCATGGTCATTTACCTTCCTCTTCCTTTACTTTGTATAATTGTTTTACTGTATATCTTTGTTTTTATGTTTGTTTTTCTTCATTTCACAATGTTATTATACACTTTCCTGCAGCTGACAGTACACCATAATTCAATTGTTTTTATGTTTGTTTTCCTTCGTATCAAAATACATTATTTATACACTTCAACTGACACAGTACACTATGATTCAGTGTACTGTAATTCGAAAAGGTGGCCTTATATTGGCTGGCCTCAGTCACCTGTGGAAGCATTAAATGGGCAAAAATGCATACACATGGTACTATACCTCTATGTATTAGTTTTATTCTGTAACTATTTCTTGTGTTGTAACAGTGTTTGCTGATAAATTCTAGGTTCTTTAAACAAGACCATTCTTCACAAATAAAAGACGGAGATAGGTTGGTTGTCTGAGACACAGTGCTAGGGAGCCATGGGACACAAATGTCAGTTGAAGACAGATACGATACGAGGATGTTAGGAAGCACTTTTTCGTGTTCTGCGTGATGAACTAAAAGAATCAAATACAGATGGTAGCTGCAAACATACTGGATGCCAGGAATTGGTAAAGCTTATTATGAATTAAGAATCAGGGCCAGAAACCATGAGCTGAACCCCAAAGTGAGAATAACTAGGAAAGTGTATGCACACGTCTGATATTTACTAATGATTTGTATAAAATGGAGTAGACCCTCAAATTATGCAACTTTGGTTTGTGTGATGTTACAATAATTTTGAAAAAAGTGCTATCAGAGAATTTCCTAACAGGAAATATTGGTTTGTACTTGGTATTTCATGCCATTTGAAATCTGGAATGAAATGTCTGTTTCAAAGTAAAATGCAGACTACAGGATAAAATAACCTCATGGGGCAGTGCCACCAACAGGGTGCTGCAAGATCAGTGACTTCCAGTAATGTTTATAATTTATGAATGATGTGGAGATCCTTTGCAAAATAAGTAATAAAATGAGTGTAAATCTCTGCAAGATGATTTGGACAGACTAAGTTAGTGATGGATGGATGGTGCTTAATGCAATAGAAAGAGGGTGGAAGCCAGTATACCAGCAGCATGAATATAGTCATGACTGACTAAGGATTATCAGTAATATTGATGAAAGAGTGAAAAACTTGCATTCAACACTGGTGAACTTTACAATAATTTATTAATACATGCACAAATAACCTGCACTTAGGAGAGGGAAACTTGTGATGATGTTTTGGTCTGACTTGGGCCATTAACAAGTCACACTGAAGTGAGAAGGAAAGAACACCAGATTATATACCAGAGGGCCATGGAAATGCAAAAAATTAGTATTATTCACATGTTAAGACAAAAATTGTCGTGTGCAGCGGTCATGTGTTCATACCTTAAAAACATATGGACACTAAAAAAAAAGTCCAAACATGAGCTGTGAAATGCATCTTGGAACTAAACAAAAATTTGATTTGTGCAGAAAGGCTGAAAACTTGAGAAAAGCTCTTAGTGCCTAGGAGGAGGAAAAAGAGTAGGCATGATTACCACATAGATTCATAGAAGATCATAAAAGGATAGGAAAAAATAGATAAGGAAAATGTATTAATACCATCAAGGGAGAAAAAGATGCTATAGTGGGTAATTGAAGAGAAAGATTTTATATACTAGCTATACTTGTCATCCATCTCATTGTTCTACATATACATACATACATATATATATATATATATATATATATATATATATATATATATATATATATATATATATATATATATATATATATATATATATATATATATATATATATATATATATTATATATATATTATATATTATATATATATATATATATATTATATATATATATATATTATATATATATATATATATTATATATATATATATATATATATATATATATATATATATATATATATATATATATATATATATATATATATATATATAAAATATATATATATATATATATATAAACATGTAGAACAATGAGATGGATGACAAGTATAGCTAGTAAATGCAAACACACCCTTCATTAAAGGGGGAAAAAAAAAAATTACTGATCTGGAAAATAGGGGTGGGGATATTTGCAGTTTTGAACTGTAGTATCGGCATCCCTCTGGCAAGAAAGTGATGGTGAAAAAATTTCTTCTTTTGCGGGTCACTCTACATCGGTGAGAGAGAGCCGGTTTGTTGATAAAAAAATATGCGTTGTTATACCCAGTAGCATCTCATGAAAAAATAGCTAGAATGAGCAATTGATACTGTTTTGGTTTTTATTAAAGCTGAAGAATGAATACAAATATATTGTATTTATTGATTTCTTATAAAAACATTAAATAGGAAGTAGTAGCTTAAAAGATTAATAACTTATTGTAAATATACTTTAATGTAATTTTGACTTTTCGACAAAATGATCAGCAACTTTGCTATAAAATTCTGTTATGAGCTAAAGATTTTTTTGATAAATCTTCAGTTGATAAGAGGGCAAAATTTGCTTTTTTTTTTGAAGAAGAAGAAGAAGAAGAAGAACAAAAAGGCACAATACCTTGACTGGAACAATATACAAATAACCCGCACATAGGTGACATTGTAAATGGTCCAAGTCAACTGGAACAATACACAAATAACCCGCACATAGGTGACTTTGTAAATGGTCCAAGTCAGACCGAAACGTCGTCGTAAGCTCCTTTCTCCTATGTACATGTTATTTGTGTATTGTGTTGTGCATTTTTCTTGACCTTCAGAATTTCTGGAGTAAGTTCAAAGCAAACAAGCTGAGCTCTACAGATGGGCATTACTGGACATTTTTTTTGTATTCAACTGACTATATTGCACAGAGGCAGGTGATGAAAACAGAAAAAAGTTTCTCTTTTTAAAATTAGTAATTTATACAGATGGGGTTACTAGCCCCTTGCTCCCAGCATTTTAGTCACCTCTTATGACGTATGGCTTACCGAGAAAGAATTCCTTTCCGCTTCCCCATGGAGATGTGCAGGAATCAACAAAAACAAGAACTATTAAGAAAATAGAAGAAAACCCAGATAGGTGTGTAAATGTGTGTGTGTATATGTATGTGTCGAATGACCTAAATGTAAATAGAAATAGCAAGATATACCTGTTATCCCGCATGTTTATGAGACAAAAAAGACAACGGCAATCGTAGCATCATGTAAAACAATTACAGGTTTCCATTTCACACTCACTTGGCAAGACAGTAGTATCTCCCTGGTGGTTGCTGTCTACCAACCTACTATCTAAATTGCTGGAACTATTAAAATTAATTATGGAAAGCTACTTCACTGTAATGCTTTACCAAGACTTTCACCTTTATAAAAATTAAGGAAGGCTAACTACTTTACAAAGTCTTTTTTCAAGTCTTTCACATTTCTAAAACTAAAAATTTTCTGTTAGTTTCATCTTCAAATTTTTCTGACATATAAACAACTCAAAATTGTGATTTCATTTCCAAAATACAGAAGAATGAGGACTGGCATCTGCAAGCGAGAGAGTTTAAAATGAAGTGTTTTTTGTTTAATTTCTATTTTCAAAACTAACACTAATAATTAATTTCCTGTAATTTGGAAGGCAATGATTTAATTCCTGCCTTTCTCTTTTTAAAGTTTGTTACTGAGTATGATCTGCCAGTTGGCTTGTATCCTGGTTCATAATTACTGCTGGGTGCACAGAGCTGGAAGGAATAGTTTATTCCACACTACCTGTGACTAATGCATCCACAGAACAAAGTGGTTTTTTAAGCAAATACTGCAGCTGACTGGAGATCGAACCTGTGACATTTATCTAGCTTCCTGGGACACTAGGTAAGTTTCCCAAAGCCTTTATAGTGGTAGCCTAGTGGATTAAGATAGAGAAGTTTACCTAGCATTCTGGGAGGCTGGGTAAATGTCACAGGTTCAATCCCTAGTCAGTTGCGGTATTATGTTGACCAGCTATGCTATAAACAACTGGCCCCTCTTGGGAAGTGTGTGTACTATCCACTTTAGTACAGGTGCTTATGTTCCTTGATCTGTATTTCACATCTTGTAGTTTAAAATTCCAAAAACGTTAATATGTTTTTTTCAGCAGGTGGGGATCAGGATGGTGACAAACAGTTCAGTAAGTGTGCAACCACTAGAACGTCAAGTGCCTCATCCTATGCCTTGGTACATGAAAGTTTGGGGAATTCCTCAGGCTTGCCTTCCATGCTTACTGTGGCACAAGTGATGGCTGCGCTCCGTCATGAGGGCCATCTGCCAGCCTCCCACATCACACTCACTCTCACTAATCGCAGAGAAAATACTAGAGGTCAGTTTTATTATGACATGGCTATGTTCCTCTGTGATCCATTTTTGCATAATACTTTTTAATTATGGGATACTTGCCAAAAAGGACATGTTATTTAAATAACTTTTTATTATCCTTGTGAGAAAAGTATCTTTTAAATATTGCAGTGTTCTCACTTTAATGCACTACTACACATCAACTTCCTCTGAACTTTGATACTTGTATAGGGTTGATTTGAGAAGGATGAGTAATTCACAGAAAAAGTGACATGTGGAGTGGGCAGTTTGTGAGCATATTGAGCCCACAAGTAAAAGCAGAAAAATTGTATACAGGTGCTCCTTGACTTAGATTGGTTATGTTTCGATGAACCCATTGTTAAGTTGAAAATACTGTGAGTTGAATGTGAATATGTTGTGCCAAATATATAAGTAAATAATTACTGCCACTGAATAAGTAAATAATTAATTTTCTAGCTAAATACCAGTATTGAAAAGTAAATAAATGAATGCAAGTTATGGACATTTTGCCTTCATGCTTGGTGATTATCGTAATTGTCATCTTCAAAGTAATTGCTTTCATACCATTGTAAAGTTGAAATATGGTAAGTTGAGGAGCACCTGTAATGTGGAAGATGGTGTAACGTGGAAGGGAACACCAAAGACATTTAGGCTGGCATTTTGATGAGGTGTTGAAAAATATTGATGTTACTGATCACTTTTGGAGAGGGATTTTAGGTTGTATGGTTCACTAATGTTATTTGTCTTTGGATGTAGGAGTTGACAGAGTATACGCTTCATTTGTTGTAGTATATTAGTTTAAAATGAACACTGTGTAAAGCTGAAATGGTGGTGGGAAAAAATATATTTAACTTCTTCAGTGTTATTTCAATACTGCCTCCATAGATGACCACTCAGCAAGACTTGTGCAATTATAGGAAATTAATTCAGTGTGTACTAAGGTAAATAAGATAGACCATTGATTCACAGATCAAGAAAAACTACAATTATATAAGAGCAAAATCCAAAATTATATTAATACTGTACATCATTCATGTTGTATGTTGACCTGACTACGTACTGAAGAGCAAGATGTATTTGGAACACTTGTCTGTTGTGTATGGAAATGTACATAGTTGGATGAAGCTTATTAGAGCCAGCTGGCCAAGTGGTCAACTCACTGGCCAGTGTTTTAGGACTCTTGCCATGTGTTCAAATCCCATATATCCACCCATCCTTCTTAACACTGGCAGTCTTCCACCAAGGCAGGGTGACCCAAAAAAGAAGAAACACTTTCATTACTCACTCTATCATTGTCTTGTTAGACATGCTGATACTACAGCTCAAAACTGCAAATATCCCCACCCCTCCTTCAGAGTGTAGGCACTGTACTTCCCACCTCCAGTCTCAAGTCCAGCTAACCAATTTTGCTAAATCCCTTCATAAATGTTACCTTGCTCACACTCCAACAGCATTTCAAATCATAAAAACCACTTGCCTTCACTCACATCTAACACGCTGCTTCTCCAACAGAAGGTGAAAGTGGGCGGGAAGCTGTACTGTTGTGCACCGAGCCACTACCATCAACTTTACACGTCTTCACCAGCCAAGGTGGCCTCTCGCTTCTTGCCCAGCACATGTCACTACTCTATCCTGACATGGGCCAGCAGGTATACGAATGTCATTATTTGATATTCTATAGGATTAAGCCTGTTTACTATGGACATCTTGGAAATATTTTAAAATTCAAGAATTTAATACTTACCTAGGCTTTGTCATAAAAGTAAGCTTTGCATTTAAATGTGGTGGTACAGTATTATAAACTACTATTTTTTTTTTTTTTATGTAAGGAAATCGGTCACTTCATATTTGGCTGGTGAATTCCTTAATGTGTTGTACAATAAAATCTTGCATATCCTGTAAAATATGCAGTATTTTTGAAATCTGTCATGGTTTTCTAATTGCTTAGTGCTCTATTACTCACTCGAGTTTAACACTTTACTGTAATGATACTTTTGAGATTACCTATGCTGTCACATCTGGAATTTTTTTTTATTCAGAACAGCTTTCAAAATAGAACTCCTTAAACTAGTCACAGGTTTGTGGTCCTAATCCTAGGATATATATATAAAATTTCATCAGTAGTGCCCTCACTTCCTCGTGTCATTTCATTGCTTAATATTTCTATTTTTTTTTTTTTTTTTGTTTTTAACTCCAGCTGTCTCCACCAAGGCAGGGTGACCCCCCCCCCAAAAAAAAAAATAAATTAAATTTCCTTCTGTTTATTTTTAATAATTTCATACAGCAGAAGGGGTTACTAGCCCCTTGTTCCCGGCATTTTAGTCGCCTCGTACAACACACATGGCTTATGGAGGAAAGATTCTTCTCCACTTCTCCCTGGAGTTCTATATCTTTATCCTCTATTTTTCTCTAGTGCTTGTGCTTGTCCTTGCTTATTTGTAAGCACATTGTGGAATCTTCAGTTGAATTCAGTGCATACTTTCCTCCCATTTCTTGTCAATAGTTTTCTCTTCTTTTCTCATTGCTATTGATTGATTATTCATTGTTATTTTTCTTCTGATGTGGCTTTGATTCCATCTTTACCTTAACTACTATACATGTACTTTCCAAATAATTGTTCAAATTATCCTCTTGACCCAGTCATAATTACTGCCTCTTCTTGTTTCCCAGTTGTCTGATGTTGGATTTGATCTGTACATTTTCCATGCTGTTGTATTACTGAATTTTGCCTCCTTATATTTCTGGTTGAGCCTGTACGTTGGTACATAGTTGTTTGTTGTCTCCTTTGCAATTTTATTTGAAAAGATGTACAATTTCATTGATGGATTTGCTTTAGAATTCAGAGGCTCATTGCACTTTTACCAGAAAATGTCTCATTCCTATACAGTTATCTTTCTTGTACATTAGTGTTTGATTTTCCACCCTCTTGTTTTTTCTTAGTTTCACTTACACCAGGATGCAGAATGTAACACACTGATAGCTTGTTTCCAGGGGCGTATTATAACACTCAAGAAAAATAGGAAAAATTGTAGGAAACTGAGGTAGAGAGTAGGTTGATAAGTGCAGGGATTACACGTCTTGTATCAGTTTGTGATACATTATTAGCCTCTCGTACATAGAACACAATTAAAATTGCACTGACAGTTGAGAATGTGGTAAAATTTTTGGATTGTAAAATCTGCAGCCTCTCATATTTTCATTGGGATGGAAGCCAGAAGCAGTAGCTGTATGGAACAGGAGAGTAATTGTGACAGTTCTGAGGATTACCTCATGAAATTATTAGTTTAGGTATACTAATTTGATTTTTCATCACATAAGCTCTTTTTCCCTTTACTAGAGTTTTAGCATCTTGTAGTGCATACTGATATACAAATGTTAACTTTTAGCTGCTGTTATGTTTTGTTTGTGTATGTTTCATGTGATTGTTTTTTTATTCACAGCAGCCTAGTAATGCAACATGTGTACGGGGCAGCAATGGAGACAAAGGAGAGATAGTGGTGGAGAACGATTGGGTCAGTGTTGAGATGAATGATTATGAGGTTAGTCTCTAACACTTGTTTTGTGCCACCATTTATTCTCCAGTTGTAATAAAATGCCTTAAAACGGTGAGCTCTCACTTTCCTTACTTTTGTGTTGTCTTTGTAGCTACCCATTTCTTACTGCAGTAGGGTTAAGCATCTTGTGTTCCCCCTTTTTTTCTTATCTTCCCATAATTCATAAATTTCAAGCTACACACATTCTCCAATTTGAGCTCATTCCATTTTTTCTGTCATATTTATTACCAAAATGTATCTACAGAAGCAGAGCTGTGCTTGTGGTGTTCTGTTTTCAGTAAATTTTTCATCAAACATTTTTCTTTAATTTCTAATGGTTGTAGCCTTTTTTTAATTATTCCCTCAGTTAACCACTCTGTGAAGAAAAGTTTTCTAATATCCCTCTGGCTCCACTTTTCCTCAGTTTCCAATTGTCTTTGTTATCCCTCCTGCAGATACAAAGAAACCTTTAGATTTTTATGTTCTTTTATGACCCTGTATTTAGTTTTCGTGTCACTCGTTCCATTTCCAATAAAATTTCCCATTAACTAATAGTTTTCCTTATAGCTTAGTAGATATAATATATAGAAATTTTCTCCTAAGAGGTTAGTGTAAGCTTTCTCTTAATGTCTAAATGTTAAAATAATTGTATTCTTTTATTCATAAACAAAACAATCTGCTTACTATTATGCTTGTTCTAGTGTTTTTTTGATTCATTTGCTGTGCCAGTCTATAATAAACCTTAGTCTGAAGACTGGAACATTTAAAATATAAAAAAAAGCATGACTAGTTTGGTTTTATGGTATGCAAAAGTTTGCAGATGTTGCTTTCACATGTAGGATTTATCTGTGTACATCTTTGAGGCCAGGTTATCACTGAGTACTTCTCATCCTTAAGAAGAGTGGTCAGCCACTTGTAGAATCTTATCCAAACATTTAAAATGCATTGAAGTCTAATTAATAAATGAACTTAAAACATTTGCCTAAGGCTTTTTTCAAAGATGAACACCAACAAGTTTTTTTTTTTTTTTCAACAAGTTGGCCATCTCCCACCGAGGCAGGGTGACCCAAAAAGAAAGAAAATCCACAAAAAGAAAATACTTTCATCATCATTCAACACTTTCACCTCACTCACACATAATCACTTTTTGCAGAGGTGCTCAGAACTTAGAAGCGCACATGTAAAAAGATACACAACATATCCCTCCAAACTGCTAATATCCCGAACCCCTCCTTTAGAGTGCAGGCATTGTACTTCCCATTTCCAGGACTCAAGTCCAGCTGTATAAAAATAACTGGTTTCCCTGAATCCCTTCACTAAATATTACCCTGCTCACACTCCAACAGATCGTCAGGTCCCAAATACCATTCGTCTCCATTCACTCCTATCAAATACGCTCATGCACGCCTGCTGGAAAACCAAAGCCCCTTGCCCACAAAACCTCCCTTACCACTTCCTTCCAACTTTTTGAGGACGACCCCTACCTCGCCTTCCTTCCCCTACAGATTTATATGCTCTCCATGTCATTCTACTTTGATCCATTCTCTCTAAATGACCAAACCACCTCAACAACCCCTCTTCTGCCCTCTGACTAATACTTTTATTAACTCCACACTTTCTCCTAATTTCCACACCGAATTTTCTGCATAATATTTACACCACACATTGCCCTTAGACAGGACATCTCCACTACCTCCAACCACCTCCTTGCTGCTGCATTCACAACCCAAGCTTCACACCCATATGAGAGTGTTGGTACTACTATACTTTCATACATTCCCTTCTTTGCCTCCATAGATAACTGTGTTTTGTCTCCACATATACCTCGACGCACCACTCACCTTTTTTCCTTCATCAATTCTATGATTAACAACAAGTATATGTTCTTTAATTATGTATTTCTGTATGTTCAGTCAGTGAATATGTTGGACTACCTGGTGATGGGAGGTGGTAGTACTGGGTCTCCTGGGCCAGTTGGTGGAGGCACAGTTAGTCTCCTTACCCTGCCCTCCATCCCACCACATGCCTTGGGAGCCTTCACTCTCTTTCTGCGTCTCCCAGGATATGCAGAGACGCTCTTAAAAGATACCCACAAAGCATGTTGCCTCCTCAGACTAGCATTGGGTGTCACCGACGATGGCGATGGTGGTGAGTATGACTTTTCTATTGGCTGTATGCTCGGCTTGTTTCTTATTATTGTAAACTAGTCTGTCAGAGTGAACATGAATACCAAGTTTATTTTGAGCATCTGCAGAGTATCATTGTTGCTGACATAGTTCATATTTTCTTATGATCTTTAAAAAAAAAATCTTAATAACATTATTATAAGTTATCATTGTAATATCTGATACACTAAACGTAGCTGCCCTACTAAACACCCTGATGTACTTAACATGCTGAGTATGCTGGGTCAAGTGTAAGGTGATATCTTAGACTTATAAGCATTCTGCTGTCCTATTATTTTCACAGTTCCTTCATAATGTGAGAAATCATGATAGCACTTGGAAATTCACTAGTATTTTCGGTGGTTATTTTGCATTTGATCTAAAGTTTGGTGGAATCTCATGATATACTGTGTTATATCTTTGATTGTGAATAATACACTTATGTATCGCCAGGGGATATTGTAGGGTCAGGTGTGGGCGGCTCGCTGGCCACGATGCCCTTCCAAGTGCTGGAGAGTCTGCTGGAAGCCACGCCTCTCACTACGGATGATGGAGTGTTGCTGCGACGCATGTGTTTGGAGTCTGGAGCTTTGCATCTCATCCTAGCATGTCTAGCTGCTTTGTCACACCAAGATACACCTGAAGTTGTCTCCTCTCTCTACCATCAGGTATTGTGCCTCTCTTCACCTTTTTAAGAAGTATTAATCGTTTCCCTCATTTCCACTCGTGGCATTATGAATGTTATTTTAAAATATTTTCTTGTGCCAAAACTTTATTCCATGGCTTATGCAGATAAAGAAAACAGGAGGGTAACTGTTAATGAGCATTATTATATCCACCAGCATGGTTCATAATGTAGAATTTGTACATTTCAAATGGGTGTAAATTGTGTGAAGGCTGAAAGAGAATATAATACAGGCAGGCCCCACTTACATAGCTGGTTAGGTTTTGGGTTGCTGCTGAAAAGTGGAACAGTTTTTTCCACTTTGAAATGCATGTAAAAGCCTGATAACATATTAACATTATCGTATATTAAATGAGCAACAGAGCTAGGCCTAAGAAATGCATATACAATACACACATTACTTCAAAATATTTTTGTCCTTATTAAGCGGTGAATATATTTATTGTAAGAAGTCTGAATGCATGAAGAATGAGTATGATTGACAACCACTGCATTAACGAAATGTTATAAAGTAGAGCCCACCTGTACGGGCCTAGTGGGCCAGTCTGGAGACCACATGGCAGGCAGTATGAAAAATTGTGCATATGGATTGCTCTAGCATTTGTTTTATTTTTTATTTTTTGCACCGGTTAGATAGGAAGATCATGTAAAAGAAAACAAAAATTAGGTATTGTAACAAGAAAGTACAGAAAAAGCTAGTTTAAATGAGCTCATACCGTAACTTTAGAATAGTTACTGCTGTACAATAATTGTGGCTGGTTAAGGAATAAATGAGAAGTACAGTAGTACAGTGGACCCCTGGTTCACGTCATTAATCCGTTCCTGAGAGCTCATCGTAAAGCAAAATTATCGGAAAGCGAATCAGTTTTCCCCATAAGAAATAATGGAAATCAAATTAATCCGTGCAAGCCCCCCAAAGTATGAAAAAAAAACTTTTACCACATGAAATATTAAGTTTAATGCAATAGAATAAATGCAACTGCCTAGCCTTTTCACAAATGATCGCTTGAGAGATGCTATCTCCAGCTATCTGTTTTTCATTTATCCACACCAGTAACAGTCTCTCAACATTTTCTAACACTTGCGATCGCTGTTTTGTAATCACAGTTGCACCTTTTGCAAGAACAGCTTCCTTGATTGCTGTTTTCTTGCTCACTATAGTAGAGATGGTTGATTGGGATTTACTAGACAACTTGGCCAGGTCCGACACACACACTCCACTTTCATACTTTGCAATTATCTCTTTCTTCATTTCAATAGTCATTAGCACCCTTGGTCTCGAAGGGTTGGCACTAGAAGCTTTCTTGGGGCCCATGGTGACTTATTTTGCAGAAACAAGCACCAGAAACAGTGATAATATGGATAATATGGAATGTACCGAATGTATCCTTAGATGCGCGCACACTGGCTGGTTTGTAAACACTGGCACACACGGGCAGTTCAGGCCCCATGTGGACACGTCTCGTACGAATCGTATCGCGTACCGGGTTTTGTTACGGGAACCTGGGCAATTTTTTGGCGATATAACGCTTTGGATACCGGATTTATCGGTTACCGGTGACTTCGCGAACCAGGGGTCCACTGTAGTTCCATAAAATTATGTCTATTGTATGGCACAGTTCTTTAACATTTATTTTAACATTTGTTTAGTGAATAGTCTGAATTTACAGTAAACAATATTTTAGCAAAATTTTGGTGTACGTATATTACTAATTCACTTGACTGTATATGAGTAGCTTTTTAATTAGGTCATATTTTTTTTTTTTTTAATCCCAAGTACTTCAGGTCTTATAATGATCAGATAGCAGGATCTTTGCTGTCGGTTATTAACACGACATAATCAGACAACTTGCTTCTATATTACAGAATGTGCCCATTGGCCTTGTTGTAGCAACCACAAGAGCCACGTGTGTGGACACTCGAGATTCCATTGGCATCCACAGAGGAGAAGGGGACAGGTGTCACTACTGGGCCAAAGGCACCGGATTTGGCACTGGCAGCACTACTCAGAGCTGGGACGTAGAGCAAGCACTCGTGAGGCAGAAGGTGGAGGAGGAACACGTGGTGTGGCTCGTGCGCCTTCTTGCAAAATACATAAATCCAGGTGAGCACCAGAGAATGTACATATCAACAACCCAGAACCTAATTTTAATATATTAATTCTTTTATCAAGTTCCCGGTGTCAATTTCCTCATATATCCTGTAACATTACAAATATATTTTCTTTATATTATGATAGGTAAAAGTTTAAATCTGCAGGATTATGTTGTATTGTAAGAATCAGTTATATATTAAATAGAGGAGTACCTGAATGTTAGTATCGGGGACATTGGCTAATTTTGATGGTATCAGAATTAGTGAGTATTTGCTAATCTTGATGTTATTGGTGAGTATTGGCTAATTTTAGTGGTATTGGTATTAGTTAATTTTGATGGTATCTGTACTGGTTAATTTTGATGGTGTTGACATCAGTCTAAGATTTAGTATCGGTATCGGCCAAAATTTTGATATTGTCCCATCCCTAATATTGTGTTCTAGTGGTAGAAACCTGACTAATTGAATGCTATTAAATGTAAATTATTATTAACGTTCCTCTTCGTATTTGTAACTTTTTCACTAACTGGAAATGTCTGTAATACACACTGCAGTTGAACTTTAAATATCTCATTTGACAGAAAGTATTACCCAAAGTACCAGGATCACCAGGTAGTCTGATACATCTGTTAGCATCACACACCTGGATAGCTAGATTTTCACATCCATACAATTACATGTCTATCAGGAGAGGAGGAGGATTATGCATGGGACTAGGATCATCATACACATGGAGAGAAGGATCATAGTATTCCATGATAGTAGGATAATCACTGATGGAACTAGGATCACCACACACCTGTAGACTGAATTATTTCCTGCAAATTTGTTATAAGTCTTTATTATTCAGTAAAACATCAATTTAAAGAGCTAATAGTGGGGAGCGGGTGGCTGGTAATGCCAGTTGTAGTGGATCTAGACGAGGTTATTTTCCCAACAATTGTAACAATAGGGAACAGTTCTTTAAATGGACTGTCCACTGTTTCTAAATAAGTTGACCCATATTTCTAAAGTCCATTAAATCAAAGGTTTACTGTAGCTGTGTCTTTAAACCCCACATTCTCTGTTCAGTTTTCTTTGTACTGATGGCTGTTTGTGTAACTGTTAGTTTTTATTAGGAGGTCATTCTTTCTCATTGTGATCATTTCTCACCAAAATGATTTCATATAAATTTATAAGAAAATCCAAACATTGCATGAATATGGGGAATATGTAGTTGTAGGAGAGATGCAAATATTTTAGTAATTTATATCAAGGATTACTTGGAAATTATTCATTAAACATTATATTTGTGTTGCTGGGTTATTTCTCGTCACTGACTTAACCCTTTCAGGGTCCGTCCCGTAGATCTACGGCTTTACGTTCAGGGTCCAAACCGTAGATCTACGTCATTAGCTCAGCTCACTCTGATAAACTGTGAGTGGTACATTTGGGCCTAGATATGAGAGAATACATCTATGTGGTATGTGTGCACCACATAAAACAGATCCTGCAGCACACTGTGTATAATGAGAGAAAAAAAACTGAAATCATGATTTTTCGATTGAAACAGTGACTTTGCAGTGTTTTTTCGTATGTTTTTTATAGTTGTATTTGCGATTTCTTGGTCTCATTTGATAGAATGGAAGACATATTACAGAAATAGAGATGATTTTGATTGGTTTTAGCACTGGAAATGGCTTGAAACTGAGCTCAAAGTAGCAGAAATGTTAAATTTTTGCCGATATTCAAGAGTAAACAAATGATCTCACACTCTAATACATGCCAGCTGGTGGTCTAATATGCATTCACAAATATGGTGATGATATTTATACAATTATTACAGTATTGCATAACAGTAAATCTATTTTTTGGTGTGAATAAAAATTCATTATGTGAATAAAAAATCAATAATGGAATTTATTTGTAAAGCCTCAAAACGTAACTAATGAACAGAGGAAATGTTAGTTTAGTTCCAGGAATACCTACATTGTTTATTCTGGACCCTATTTTGAAATTGGAATATTTTGAACTTTGTGTTAAATTGGCCAAATTAACAATTTCCGATCACTTTAATTTGTAGTTGAAACAGTTGACTTGGCGATTTCTTGTGCTCAATCGATAGAATAGAAGTAATACTAGTGAAATAGCTAAGAATTTGGTTGACTGGAATAATGTAATTGGCCTAAAATGGGAGTCAAAGTCGGCAAAATCGCCGATTCGTAAATATCGGTGACACATCAAAATTCGTGAGAGCATAAGTTCGTCAGTTTTCCATCAAATTTTGTACTTTTTGTTTTATTACCTTCACAAAAAGATTCTCTACCATTTCATAAGAAAAAATAACAATTTTTTTTTTTAAATTCTTGGACACTGGGGCACCACTTCAGATTTGGGCCTTGGACCCTGAAGGGGTTAACTTACATATGCTACAGGAGTAAATATGCTTTTTTCAGTATTATGTGGGCCTTTTCCTTGTTGTCTGTACTCTGTATCTTGATCACAGTTACCTAATTTGATTTGTATAAATGTTAAGTATTACAGCTCTATTAGCATTAGTAACTGAAATCCTTATATAAAAAAAAATAATTTTTATTGAATAGGTGATGTCTTGCCCCCTGACCTGCAACAACAAACAAATGGAGGCACATCAGGTGGCAGTTTTGATTCCCAGAATGAAACTGGATCCTCAGAGCCCCACAGAAAGGTCCTAATCTTACCTCCATTGTCATCACCACCACATGCTCCACCTGCTCTCCCATCAGCTCTCCTGCATCTCTTCCAGAACTCAGGACTTATAACTACAATAGCTTCCAATCTTAGCAATGATTCTGGTATGTTCATGATCACAAAAAATGGCAGAGTAATAGTTACTAGGAAATGTGTTTGATGTTAATTATTCACTTAAAAAAAAAAGTATGTTGAAAATGTTATATAGTATCAACAAGGTGATGAGTAAGACACCTGTGCAACAGTTGGGTATCTTTATTGTTGAAATGTTTTGCATACACAGCAGGCTGCTTCAGCCAAATGCAGAGGCAGCAGGTGTAGTAGTAGTAGTGAAATGAAGATGATGATGTCAGTTTATTGCCTGATTATATCAATCCATGGACTGATTACATCTTCTTCGTTTCACTACTACACATGCATGTGCACAGTTGACAAGAAGTCAGCTGTGCACATGCCTTAATCATCAGAAGAAAAAGTAATTAAAATCACATACTGTAATTTCTGTTGCAGTGTTGGATATGTCTCGTCATGTGCCCCTTTATCGAGCTCTCTTGGCACTAGTACGTGGCTTATCAGTTACTTCTAGTCTAGCCCCGCTGCTCATGACTCAACAACATTCTGCCCCAACGAATGGAGGGAACGATACTACGGCTCTGCCCTGCATTCCAGCACTTCTGGAAAGGATGAAAAGCACTGTAAATACATATATGGCAAAGCTTAGATGGAAGTCTTCTAAAGCAGGAGGAGGAACTAATGGCAATGGTGGCAACAGCATCTCTGCAGATGATGTTGAACAGGAGGAAGGTTTATCTTTAATAGTTCCTGACATCCAGAATACTGCTATGGTGGTCAAGGTAACTATTTTCATCTGAAGTAACATGGAAAGATGATAAAGAAAAACATAAAAGATGTAGAGTAAAGAAATTTTGAAATTTTTAAGGAATCCAAAATATATTTAAAGAGCAAGGTGAAATGGAGAGTAACAAAACAAGTAACTTGAGACAAAAAATAATATACAAGGAGATATTTGTGAGGTCAAGAGTGAAAGAAAAGATTGCAGCATAGGACAGAGTTAGCATAACTAATAAATTAATCAAATTGGCTTTGCAACATTTACAGAACTGAAGATAATGGTGTGAATAATATGCAGAGAATTCTGAGCCTAGAAATGAAAAGGTGATGTGGGGTCACCAGGAGTGTAATTCAGAGGGCTGAGGAGTGTGTGCTAAGGTGGTTTGGGCATATGGAGAGGAATAGGATGATGACAAGGGGGTGTAAATCTGGGGTGGAAGGTAGGAGGGTTGGGGTTGGCTCAGGAGCAGTTGGCAGGAGGGGGGGTGAAGATTGTTCAAATTTTAGGAGCTTGAGCATACTGCAGGCTTGTGTAAGTGTGTTAGTGAACAGAGATATGCAGTTTTTAAGGAACAACCTGCTGGAGAGTGAGCAAGGTCAATTTTATGAGGGGATTCAAGGGAAACCAGTTAGCCAGAGTTGAGTCCAGGGGGTGGGAAGGGTAGCACCTGCATTCTGAAGGAGGGATGGGGATCTTGCAGTTGAAAAGTAATCTGATTGCACTGCCAACACACTTATGGCAAGAGCAATTCAATAAATAATGTGTTTTCTTTGGATCACCCTGTATTGGCAGGAGATGGCCATAGAGTAAAAAAAAAATATAGATTATGTTAATGTATGAGATTACATACAAAATTATAATTTCAGTTTACATCTGTAATTCAGCTGATATTGGATGGTTTTTATTTAAAACCTGATTATAGATTGCAATAAATACTATGGTGGTGTTTGATAAGTTGTCCGAATAATTCATATATGAATTCAGAAAAAACATGTAAGGATGGAGACAGATAAGACTGAATACATTGGATGTGTTCTCAGGTGTGTACAGAGCGACTACAACAGGAGCTGGAGAAGGAGGACCAACCTGATGGGGGAGCCTCAGCCCAGCCCATATCATCTCGGTCACTAATGGAAGTATACCTTAGTAGCCTTAAACCCATGCAGTTTGGTAAGATTTTTTCATTAGCTGTACTATTTTTATGATGCTTTTGAGTTTGTGAAGTGAGCTTCAGCTCTTGCACTCTCCCTTGTAACTTTATAATTACTTTGCAATTCTCTAAATCATTCTGTTTCTTTCTGCCCTTCATTATTATTTTGGGAATTTTATGAAAAAAGGAGAACACACATTCACTGAGCTAAAAATAAATAAATAAAAAATAAATAAATAAATATGTATGTATGTATATGTATATGGTGAGAGAGTGCAAAAGGAGAGCAGATGATAGAGTGGGAGAGGCACTGTCAAGAAATTTTAATGAAAATAAGAAAAATTTTTGGAGTGAGTTAAACAAGTTAAGAAAGCCTAGGGAACGTATGGATTCGTCAGTTAAAAACATAGTAGGCGAGTTAGTAGATGGGTAGAGGGAGGTATTAGGTAGATGGCGAGAATATTTTGAGGAACTTTTAAATGTTGAGGAAGAAAGGGAGGCGGTAATTTCATGCACTGGCCAGGGAGGTATACCATCTTTTAGGAGTGAAGAAGAGCAGAATGTTAGTGTGGGGGAGGTACATGAGGCATAACGTAGATTGAAAGGGGGTAAAGCAGCTCGAATTGACGGGATCACGACAGAAATGTTAAAAGCAGGGGGGGATATAGTGTTGGAGTGGTTGGTACTTTTGTTTAATAAATGTACGAAAGAGGGGAAGGTACCTAGGGATTGGCGGAGAGCATGTATAGTCCCTTTACATAAAGGGAAGGGGGACAAAAGAGATTGTAAAAATTATAGAGGAATAAGTTTACTGAGTATACCAGGAAAAGTGTACGGTAGGGTCATAATTGAAAGAATTAGAGGTAAGACAGAATGTAGGATTGTGGATGAGCAAGGAGGTTTCAGAGTGGGTAGGAGATGTGTAGATCAAGTGTTTACATTGAAGCATATATGTGAACAGTATTTAGATAAAGGTAGGGAAGTTTATATTGCATTTATGGATTTAGAAAAGGCATATGATAGAGTGGATAGGTGTGTTCGGGAGAGGGGTGGGATTAAATTATGGGGAATCAAATGCAAAATGGGAATTGACACAGTTACTTTTTGCTGATGATACTGTGCTTATGGGAGATTCTAAAGAAAAATTGCAAAGGTTATTGGATGAGTTTAGGAGTGTGTGTAAAGGTAGAAAGTTGAAAGTGAACATAGAAAAGAGTAAGGTGATGAGGGTTGTTACAAAACTCGTCTTCTTAACCTTCTCCAATGGTATGGTAGAGTGTTAAGGTAGCATTCTTATTGAACATATAGCCTGTTTACGGTTTTGCAACAATAACTTAAGAATTCAGGATTACAAAACAAATAACTAAAACTGAAAATCTTTACTAGTAGAGTTTTAGCTTAATGTATGATATGTTATGATTAACATAAAATAAGGAGTTTAACTCTTACATTTCTCTTGGTACGTACTAGTACATTGATATGAATAAATGAACCTCTTGAGGTTGAGCTTTGTACTAAAATTACCAATAATATGCACCTATAAGGGTTATTAAGACCTAGCCACAAAGTAACTTACAATGCTTATAAAGACTTATCTGAACTATCAATTCAGAGTATACAAGAACTCGTAAGTGACGGACTTAGTCTCATATCCATCCAACATGACTAAGAATAGCTTAGACCACAAATTAACATCAAGGCTGACAAGGCTTATTTAGTCACATGGAAAGATTAATTTACCCGAGTATAAATAACTCTAAGGTGACAAGCTTAAGAAAGGAAGTCAGTCATGAAAGAAAAACGACCACAAGAGAGAACTTGACATGTCTCTTATGAGAGGTCAATGAGTGAGGTATGCTCCCTTGGCTATGCAAGCCCAGACTAGAAGTGGCAATGCTAGTCAGTGAGTGTGAAGGACCTACTCTCAGCGAGTTCTGTAAAGCTACTTAGAGCAAGGGTGGTGAACCTACTCTGAGCAGGTGCTGTGAACCTACTGCCGGTACCACTGAGTGGTAGGCCGACGTCACGTTGGTCACGTGACTGAGGGAGACTTAACCCTTTCAGGGTCCAAGGCCCAAATCTGGAGTCACGCACCAGTGTCCAAGAATTTTCAAAAAAAAAAATTGTTATTTTTTCTTATGAAATCGTAGAGAATCTTTTTGTGAAGGTAATAAAACAAAAAGTACGAAATTTGGTGGAAAATTGACGAATTTATGCTCTTGCGAATTTTGATGTGTCAGCGATATTTACGAATCGGCGATTTTGCCGACTTTGACTCCCATTTTAGGCCAATTACATTATTCCAATCAACCAAATTCTTAGCTATTTCACTAGTATTACTTCTATTCTATCGATTGAGCACAAGAAATCGCCAAGTCAACTGTTTCAACTACAAAATAAAGTGATCGGAAATTGTTAATTTGGCCAATTTAACACAAAGTTCAAAATATTCCAATTTCAAAATAGGGTCCAGAATGAACAATGTAGGCATTCCTGGCACTAAACTAACATTTCCTCTGTTCATTAGTTATGTTTTGAGGCTTTACAAATAAATTCTATTTTGATTTTTTATTCACATAATGAATTTTATTCACACCAAAAAATAGAAGATTTACTGTTATGCAATACTGTAATAATTGTATAAATATCATCACCATATTTGTGAATGTATATTAGACCCACCAGCTGATGTGTATTAGACGTGTGAGGTCGTTTGTTTACTCTTGAATATCGGCAAAAATTTAACATTTCTGCTACTTTGAGCTCAGTTTCAAGCCATTTCCAGTGCTAAAACCAATCAAAATCATCTCTATTTCTGTAATATGTCTTCCATTCTATCAAATGAGACCAAGAAATCGCAAATACAACTATAAAAAACATACGAAAAAACACTGCAAAGTTGCTGTTTTAATCGAAAAATCATGATTTAATTTTTTTTCTCTCATTATACACAGTGTGCTGCAGGATCTGTTTTATGTGGTGCACACATACCACATAGATGTATTCTCTCATATCTAGGCCCAAATGTACCACTCACAGTTTATCAGAGTGAGCTGAGCTCATGGCGTAGATCTACGGTTTGGACCCTGAACGTAAAGCCGTAGATCTACGGGAAGGACCCTGAAAGGGTTAAGTACCTAAAGTGCTAACCGGCACTTACACTAGTGGTTTCCCACTACATGACAATATTAAGAACTGCTAACAAAACTTAATATAATACAATATTAGCATTAACGTATATATAATAAAATAAAGGAGCACATCCTTGTATAAAATATAACGGGTATGGCCATACTCGTAACAAGGGTATCAAATGATTTAGATAAAGAAAAATTGGATATCAAATTGGGGAGGAGGAGTATGGAAGAAGTGAATGTTTTCAGATACTTGGGAGTTGACGTGTCGATGGATGGATTTATGAAGGATGAGGTTAATCATAGAATTGATACGGGAAAAAAGGTGAGTGGTGCGTTGAGGTATATGTGGAGTCAAAAAACGTTATCTATGGAGGCAAAGAAGGGAATGTATGAAAGTATAGTAGTACCAACACTTTTATATGGGTGTGAAGCTTGGGTGGTAAATGCAGCAGCAAGGAGACGGTTGGAGGCAGTGGAGATGTCCTGTCTAAGGGCAATGTGTGATGTAAATATTATGCAGAAAATTCGGAGTGTGGAAATTAGGAAAAGGTGTGGAGTTAATAAAAGTGTTAGTCAGAGGGCAGAAGAGGGGTTGTTGAGGTGGTTTGGTCATTTAGAGAGAATGGATCAAAGTAGAATGACATGGAAAGCATATAAATCTATAGGGGAAGGAAGGCGGGGTAGGGGTCGTCCTCGAAAGGGTTGGAGAGAGGGGGTAAAGGAGGTTTTGTGGGCAAGGGGCTTGGACTTCCAGCAAGCGTGCGTGAGCGTGTTAGATAGGAGTGAATGGAGACGAATGGTACTTGGGACCTGACGATCTGTTGGAGTGTGAGCAGGGTAATATTTAGTGAAGGGATTCAGGAAACCGGTTATTTTCATATAGTCGGACTTGAGTCCTGGAAATGGGAAGTACAATGCCTGCACTTTGAAGGAGGGGTTTGGGATATTGGCAGTTTGGAGGGATATGTTGTGTATCTTTATATGTGTATGCTTCTAAACTAATGTGCGGCCTGAGCCAGCCTCACATGTTCCGCCGGTGGCATTGTTTACAAGCCAGCCTCCGCGGTAACATCCAAGCATACAATCGTAACATTTTGTATTATTACAGTGTTTTTGGTGATTTTATCTGCAAAATAAGTGACCATGGGCCCCAAGAAAGCTTCTAGTGCCAACCCTGTGGTAAAAAGGGTGAGAAATATTATCAAAATACTGTGGTACCATGGTCAACTGCTGATGCTGCTGCTGCTGTAGCACTGTCAGCTGCTGCTGCTGCTGTACCACCATCAGCTGCTGCTGCTGTACCACCATCAGCTGCTGCTGCTGTTGTAGTACCATCTGCTGCTGCTGTAGCACTGTCAGCTGCTGCTGCTGCTGTAGCACTGTCAGCTGCTGCTGCTGCTGCTGCTGTAGCACTGTCAGCTGCTGCTGCTGTAGCACTGTCAGCTGCTGCTGCTGTAGCACTGTCAGCTGCTGCTGCTGCTGCTGTACCACCATCAGCTGCTGCTGCTGCTGCTGCTGTAGTACCATCTGCTGCTGCTGCTGCTGCTGCTATAGCACTGTCAGCTGCTGCTGCTGCTGCTGCTGCTGTAGCACCGTTGTTGGTGTGGCTTATTGAGAATACCAAGAAACAATTAACCCCGGAGGGTTAGCCACCCAGGATAACCCAAAAAAGTCAGTGTCATCGAAGACTGTCTAACTTATTTCCATTGGGGTCCTTAATCTTGTCTCTCAGGATGCAACCCACACCAGTCGACTAACACCCAGGTGAACAGGGAAAAATGCCTGGAACTAGTGCTCATATTGGTGAATTTAAAGCCAGCAAAGGTTGGTTTGAGAGATTTAAGAATCGTAGTGGCATACACAGTGTGATAAGGCCTGTTCTG